AACAGCCCAGTGTGTCTTTATACACTTAGGTGTCTAAACATCACTTTGCTCTTTCTCTAAAATTGCTCCAGGGCCAGGGATTTAGTTCAGTGGTTCCACTGCCTGCTTTGCAAGCACAAGGACCCGAGTTCAATCCCCAGTACCAAAAACAAAATAAAATTGCTCCATCTTCCACTTTCCTCTCCCCTATGGATTACATTAACTTCTAAATTTGACCAGATATTCACTCTCCTGTGGTATTCCAGTGCTCATAATAAATCCGTATGATTTTTCTGCTGTTATCTGTCTACTGTCAGTTTATTTTAGCAGACTCAATTATTGAACTGATAGAGGAAAAAGAAAAGATTCTTTTGCTTCTATAAATTCAAAGTAATATCATCAACAAGTTTACTCACAATAGGTCAAAAGTACTGACAGTGGGGCCTATTAGTTCTTCACAATCACAATCTATTTGTTCTTTCTGCCTTGATTTTAGACATAATATTAATATAAGCAATCCAGTTATACAATTTCCTATTTGACAGCACAAGTTAAAAAAAATAATTAAATGATGACTAAAGAAAGAAAAATAATTGCAATATAAAGCATGTAAGAATCAAAAGAACAGGTAGATATTCACAGGGTAGTAATAAATTGTTTTTGACCAGCTCCCAACACAAAAAACAGCAAAAAAATCAATTATCATCATAACCCCAACAAAACAAAAAAAGTTAAAATATACTTTGCATATCTTTAAGAAATAAAGAAAATGTTAGTAACAGTTCTACAAACAATTTTATCTGAAATACTTAAAATGTACATTTCTGAGCTCAATTAATAATTTGCTTCCTGAGGACTCCAAATCAATATTCTTCCAGCGGTATGTCTTCTGCTGTACTTAATGTTGGTTTTGAAAAGACTGAAAAAGGTTAAGTGCATGCACCAAAAAGAATGAAAAAAAACCTCACATTTCTCTTACTACCTATATGACCTGTGGGAGATTCAGTCATTGCCCCATTTTCCTAGTACACAGGTTATTATTTTAGTGTATGTGCTGCCGCAGTGAGCACATCATACACAGGTTATTAATACATATCTCCTACATATGCAGGAAGATTAAATTAGTTATTTATGTTTCTAATAGAGTCCTAAACATAATATGTGGTTTATTGATGTCATTTCTCATAAACAAAGATTACGACTTAAACATTTAGCAACTAGAACAATGCTAGACATACTGTATAACCAATACTCAGTAAATATGCTAGACATACCATATAACCAATACTCAGGAAATACTTAATGACTAGTCTCTGTGAAAAGAGGAAAAGAGTAGAAATCTCTCTGTAATTACATACAGCATTGTTTAACCTAACTATACCCACTACTTTTAAAAAATATTCAGCAAATAAGAATGAAAGAATTGTTTTAAAGGAAAACAGTAGGACCAATTGCTTTTAATTACTCTTATATTAAGGTCTTAGCTAATCTGATGTAAGTTTTATTACCAAACATAAATGCTCAACAAAACAACAATCCTTGCAAATACCCTACCCATCACTGGAAGGTTTAAATGCTGATGAATGACAGCTATCTGGTATTTGAAAGAAGACTCCTGCTTTGAGCCAGAGGGCTGATGAAATGATTTCCAAAGTAGCTTCCAAGATGCTTAAAAATAAACATTAGGCTTATATACATACATACATAGTTTCCTCGTATCTGTGCATATTCCAGTACCTCAGGTGAATATTTTGTGGTAATGTATTTATTATCTCTAAAGATAATTAACTTTTTCTGTGTATTAGTTTTACAGTCTAGAAACAATTAGTGATTTACCTGAAAAAGAATCTTCCTAGGACTCAAAAATCAAGTCTATTTTTGTCTTTTTTTTTTTTGCACCAGAGATCAAACTCGGGTCCTTGCACTTGCAAAGCAGGCTGAGGGACCACTGAGCTAAAATCCCCAGCCCCATCAAATCTATTTTGTAAAATAAAATGAAGTAACAATTCGAAGAAACAGTAACATAGATAACTGCCACAATTTATTCCAATCCTTTATTCATCTTTTTATTTCTTTTTGAAAAACGAGCATCCTTTCAAATAATTTCCTTCATTTTGCTAAGGAAAATAACAGAATCTGTTTTCAAAACAATGTTGAAACATACAGAATAACACTGAATTCTCGCACAAGAAGAGAAAGACAGTTTTAAAGTTCTTACTAACATATATAAAGTTATTTAAACATTTTAAAGCTATTCCATCTGTAATTTAGTTCATTAAAAATAGCTATAAAATTTTATGTAAGAATTATTTTTATATATGAAGACTTATGTAAGAATTACATACTTGCTCTGTATCAAGTTGTCATCTAAAATAACACTACAAATCTTAGCCTATAGTAATAAAACCACAATTCATTCTAAATAAACACACAGAGAAATAGCTGTTAGTACATACTCAAGCAACCCATCATTGTGATTTTACACTAATATAACATATGACAAATATGATTTAAAACTTATCTGCAGCATTATGAATAAAAAGTTCCACACTATTCTACCTGTCACTTGGTCACACATAAAGAAACCACATATAGCTTAATGTTAGAATTCCTAACACCTCAAAACACTGTGCCAACTAGTGGAATCTGTCTATCTCTGTCCCTGTTGCTCTGTCTCTCTTACCACCCCCACAGAGTTCTTTTTGTTTCCTTGGGGGAATGAGGGAGGTGAAGGTAGTGTGGTAAATATGAGGTACTGCATTACAGAATTATGAATGAAAAAAAAATAATGGCAATTAAAAGTTTTAGTACAATACAATGAACCAAGCATAAAAATACTTAGCTATTTTAAGATGTGATTTCCAGAAGTATAAAACCAGATAAAAATATGTATATGCACACATCTAAAACAGTTAAATACGCTTTCATCTGTCAAGCTGTTCCTTCTTAGTAACTAAATTACTTGGCAATCTTCTTTGTTTACAGCTTCTGAGTCTTTTCACTCTTTATTCATTACGAGGAACACATGAAATTACACTAAAGATGGCTATTATAATGGGGGAAAGAAGAAAGAAATTACACTAGATTCAGAGCAAGATTACTAAAATTCCTGCACATGACAATTCAAGTCTTGTTTTGCTGCTCTAACATAGCAATAATTTCCCCAAACATTATTTTTCATTTACCCAAATCACTGGAGGGCTGTGTAGGATGATGGGACTTGGCAAAGAAACATTCTGCATTTTTCAGGATAATCTTAATTTCAAATATTCTACCCTTTTGTTAGGCTACATGTTTACATTTTGAGATCAGAAAATACAATCACAGTTCAGTGTAGTAAATAAAAAAGACACCGCCCTTTATGTATGCCAGACTGCATACATTCAAATATAAGTCTGATAATTTACAATGTCCCTTGAACATGCACACTATTCTTTGTTAATGATATTATATTAATGAAGAAAGACATGTGCTACAAAATAATGGAACACATGCATAAAAAAATCATTTGTGCACAATTATGCCTGGTTTTGATATACGCAATTACATACACATAACAAGTATATAATTATTTGATGACATGCCTCAAATGTCTCAATCCAGTCCAGCACTACCCTCAATGTTGAGAAGAGCCCAACTTGCAATTTAATTCTTCATAGTTGAGATTTATAGTAAGAAAGAAAAAACATTATCTTAAAATACTCAGTATTATCTTGAAATACGGAATAAAACTCAGGAATATGTTAGTTTAAACCCCATTCCAGAACTCTAGTTAAATGGTACTCTCTTATGTAAAGGTTTTTTTCTAAGTGCCATCAAGTATTTCTATAAAGTTTTCCCTACGTCAATCCTTATCTGTCTCCCATTTTCATACCTGGATTCTTCTACTTGAAACTCCTTTATAAAGATAACTGGCAAGTTACCGTCTTATATTGTCCATTGATACAGCTATATCCCAACTATAATATATACTCTTTGATGGGAAATTTATGCCATCACTAATAATAGCACTAACCAATATGATAATATATTCAACAAAAATATACTGGATTAGAGTAAGAAAATCACTACAAATCCAAAGTGGGGTAAAAATTTGGAAAACCAATCAACAGAGCCAGATTCTTCAAAATCCTGTAAATTTAAACGGTTTTAATATTTATTCTTAAATTCAATTGATTCTTTAAACAGGATAAATTAAGGCACTGGCACATTCTCAATTTTATTATGCTATATAACTTAATCATTACCAGGTACACTGCTCAGTTCATGCTATCTGGACAGAAGATGAATACAAAGCATGTCCTTAGGTTTGGATTCTCTTTCAACCCTATTAAACTGGACATTCGAATGTTATATTTAGTTAGTTTACATAATCAGTTTCAATTTATTTTGGCATCTGCATAATTTTATAATTAATTTGTTGTAGAAATTGGGGGGGGGTGATGGTACAGGAGATGAAAGCCAGTAAACTACAGTAAGCTACAGCCTAATCCTTTAGAGACATTCATTAAGTTGTTAAATTGCCCAAGCAGGACTTAAACTTGTGATCCTCCTGCCTCAGCCTCCCAGAATGCTGGGATTATATGTGTGTCACCCACATCTGGTTGTAGAGGTAATTTTTGGAGCATTCAGTTTTAATCTGGTTACACTAAAGGAATAAACACAATGATACAAAACAATGGATGATCCAAAAAGGAATTAACAGTCAACTCTCAAATATTCAAATGTAGATTACCTAATACATTTTTAACCTGTAACTTTGTTGTACTGATAGAACTCTCCGCATAGGAAATAAAATATGATGCCAAAAATCCAAATAAAATAAAAAAGATACTTCAATTTACTAAAGAAAGGAAAAGAACACAAAACTCTCCTAAACTTACATATAAATAAAAATACTAAGATTATATATTTAGCAGTCTTCTACCATTATCACCTTTTTGCACAGGTAACTGAGAGTGGACTGTAATTAGACGAGTGATAGAGATACAGACAGACAGGCATGCAAACCATTCACTCACCCCACTGTGCTTTTCACAGCCCTATTTTCAGTAGCTGAGACCTGGGAGGGGGAGGAGGCAGCAAGTCACAGCAGATGGATCACTTAAAAGGAAATTGAAAGTTGACTGTAATTTACATTTAAAGTGCTATGAAATACCACCACTCCTACAAGTATTCATTATTGTTTATGGGAACAAATCTCACAATGATTTAACAAGGCTATAAATGTTTTCTTTTTAACTTTTCAATATCCCACGGTGATATCTGAAAATCACAAAGATGGAAGTTGCAAGAGCTATTAAAGTAGTATATATTTTAGAGGTGAATAATCTCAAACCCAAAGAGGTTAAGCAGCATGTCAAAATTAAGGAAGAGTAGAACTGAATTCTGCAGACTGAGTTCAATGCTAGTCTCTCAGCCCCTTCTAATCAAAACTGCTGTCATGTCTTCAGAGATTATAGCCTTCATAATTTTCTTTTAGTGGCTCGTTTCTTACTAATTCCTACTATGACATACACCCTCATCATCTTATCCTAGAACACTCAAAAATCTTTAACTCTCTGGGAAGCAGAGATGGGATGTGCTTATAAATTCAGTGGTAGAGCTCATGTTTATCATGTGCTAAACTCTAGGTCAGTCCCCAGCATCAAAAAACAAAAACAAAAAATCCTCTACTTACATTCCTTCTCTGAACACACTGTGCAGAGAATACTCAGATCACAAATTCAGAACTATTATTAACCTCCATTACTAATATATGATTTTACTATGATGTTACCTTTCTTACACAACTATTTCAGGGTTAATCACCTGAATTTCTTTTTATTTGCTTGGCAATACTGAAGATTCAACTCAGAGCCTTGAGCATGCCAAGCACGCACTTTACCAATAAGCAACACACACACCTTTTTGGGACAAGGTCTTTAGGCTAAATTGCCCAAGCTGGCCAGGAACTTACAACACTCCTCCCTCAGCCTCCAGTGCTGCTGAGATTACAGGTGGATGCCACCACAATGGGCAATCATCTGAAATTGAAAGCGTAAAACTAGACTCATTAACATCCCTCTCAAAATGACTTCCCCATTTTATGGCACCATCAAATTGCAAACTTGAAGTGTTCTTTAACTCAATTTTCCTCTTTAACACTATCCAATCTGCCTTGCATGCATGCGTATTTTCTCTCTCCCTCTCTCTCTCCTCCTCTCCTCTCTTCTCTCGGTCTCAGTATTGGGGATTGAAGAGCAGGTGGGCCTTTGTACTGATTGAGCTCTGTCCCTAGCACTTTTTTAGTTTTTGAGACAAGATCTCGTTAAGTGGCTAAACCACCCAGACTAGACTAAAATCTGTGATTATCCTGAATAAGCCTTCCAAATTGTTGAGATTACAAGTGTGTGCCACCATACCTGGCTTTTTCTATTAAAAAAAAAAAAAAGTGTCCAGGGCTAGGAACGTGACTCAGTGACTGAATTCGTGCCTAGCTTGTACAAGTCCCTGAGTATGATCCACAGTACCACCTTCCAAAAAAGTGTTTCAGGGATTTGCGTATAATTGGGGGAGGAGGTTTAGTTAAAGAGCACTGCTACTCTCAAGAAGCTTAAAATTTAGTGAAAGTGGACAAAAAAACTACAAGGTAAAGGTAAGTGTTATTCAGAAATAAAAATGTGTAAAAGTAGAAGAGGAAGTAGTAGGTTTCCATGGGAATAAGTGGCATGGGACCCTGACCTTAGCTAATTCCCACAGCATGTTAAAATTGAAAGTGCCATTTTTTGGCTATTGAAATTTACTGTCTAGTTTGTACTGAAGCCAAACTTGGTTGTAAAAAAAAAAAAAACGCACACACATACACACACAAAAAAAAAGAGTCATTTTCGCTTAAAGTCGGGTCCCAAAAATCCAACAGAACGAAGTTCTGCCAGGAGGCAGTGAAGAGGCATTGAGGGAAGGGGTTTAAATTGTTGGGTGCCCATGTTAGGACAGGAGAGAAGGAGTTAGCTCCCTAGGAGGAGGGCAAAAGAGAGGACCTGTCTTCCTCTCTTTTGATACTCCCCAAGCCAGTCCCCAGAAGGGGCAAATGAGAGGAGCCCATCGATGGAGTGTCCCTCAGGGGCACAGTCCTGGGCCCAAGGGCCCAAAGGGGTCTCTGTGACCACGCGGGATTTCCATAAAAAATTCTGGTAATTTCTAGTCAAACATGCAAGGTCAAAGAAATATGCAACTGCATGCTATGTTTAAGGAAAAGCAGTCTCCCTTGACTAAAGCACTTATACTCAACCAGGGGTATTGTTAAAAAAAAAAAACAAAAAAAACAGAAATGAAAGACTGTGCTTTAGACTAGCAGACTTTCCCTAGTTGGCTTTGAGAAGCTGCGTGTAATAAAGGGAAGGTGTGTCACACATATTAACTCTGCAGAGAGGTAGACATGACTAATATGTTTAAGATAGTACAGAAAACAATACAGGAATAAATGATAAAAGACCTTAAATGCCACTAAGGAATTTGGGCTTTATTTTGTGAGCAAATGGAGCCTCTAATGTGTGTCTATGGCTGGTTATTTTAAGTTAAGGGAGACAAGATCAGATATGCAATATAGGGTAATAATCCTGGCAGTCATCCAGCCGCCAGGTGAGAAAAGAAGAATTTAGTGTCTCCCAAATGATGATGTGAGCTAGACTAATGACAATGGGAATAGAAGGAGAGACTGAATTCAAAGGTTTTTTTCAGAGGTAAATGGGAGCATTCCACAATAGAAGAGCATGAACAGTTGGTCTCCAGCTTCAACAGAGGGTGGTTGGTGGTGGTACCTAGAAAGTGAAAAGTGGACACACTTTTGGGCGCAAAGTTTTACACATCAGGACTGAGATGACTGCCAGACTTAGACCAGTAACTAGCCCTGTGGCCACGGTTCAATTACATTTTCGGTTTCAATCTTATAAAATTTCAAGGTTTATATTTTCACATATGAGATAAGAATTATCTCAAACAGTTGTTGAAGATAAAGTAAAATAATACATTTTAGTGCCTGGCACAGAACCATGAATACAACAGTAATAGTAACAGCAGAATGTGGAACTTAAAATGCTAAGGAATTCCAGCATCCCTTAAGAAACTATTTCCAGTATAGGAAGAGAGCTGTGCTTATAAAACCGTAATGGTTAAAAAAATAAACTTAAAAAATCATAATGGTTAAGAAATAAAATTAGCTCAGTGGTACCACCACCTTTGTCACAAGCACAAGGTCCCGAGTTCAATCTCTGGTACCAAAAAAAAGAAAGAAAGAAAGTTAAACTATTCTGTCCACAGAGTCTGCAGAAAAAGTAACTATTTTGCAATTATTGTCTTTATTGCTTCATGTCTCTCACCTAGCCCACACAGTACTCCATGTACAGTACAATTACATGACGGATGTAACAAATGCTCACTAAACATGACAAAACTGTGCCAACATGAGCAAAGAAATAAAGTTTAAAAAAAAAAGTTTTGTAAAGACTCTGGAGGAAATAGGAAAGGACCAGAGATATTTTAATATCCGATTCAGAAAACATTAAATGTGGGAGATAAGGGAATTCACAACAGACTCTACCTTTTAAATTAATAAGTAAAATTTGGCTGGGCACAAACCTCTGGTAGCACACACCTCTAATCTCATCATCTACACAGGACACTGGAGCAGAAGGAATGTAAGCTCGAGGCCAGACTGAGAAACTTAGTGAGATTATGTCTTAAAAAATATAAAGAGGCTAGCCAATGTGATGGCACATGTCTATACTCTGAGCATTCTAGAAGGCTGAGGCAGGAGAACTACAAGTTGAGCTCAGCTGGAGCAACTGAACTACTTAACAAGACCCTGTCTCAAAATAAAAAAACAAAGGGCTAGGAATATAACTCAGTGAGAAGGTCCTGGGTTCAATCCTCAGTACTGAAAAAATAGTAATAACAACAATAATAAAATTTAAAACAGAAACAATTTCAAAAGGGCTTGGAATGTACTTCAGGGGTAAAGTGACCCTGAGTTAGATCTTCAGTACCACAAAACAAAAAGAAGGGAGGGAAGAAGAGAAGAAATAAAAGTATTCTGCACAGAACAGAGGGATTACAAAGTCAATTTGGAATGTAAAGAAAGGAAATTAATTGCTTCTTCCATTCTGACATACATTCAACTTAATTTTTGCAGCCATTACTCTGGCCCATTGGTCTACTATTTCTCAGATTATATTAGTATTCCTCTCTAGGCTACTCCTCCACCTACTCACTCACTTTCCCTTTCCAAAGGTGTCGTATATTTCCTTCAGAGCCTCCCCTCCACTTTGTCCACTGTTCTTATCATTCGGCCACTCTGACAGTCATCCTGATTCTCTACCCACTAGTTAATCATTCTGTCCTCTAGCTACTACAGGGCTACTTCTGTTCCTTGTATACCCTGATTACTTAATTTATTGTTCCATACTACATCATTTCTTTTTGTCTGTTCCAGTAAACTCTAGAAGAGGGTAACACCTTCATTTTATTCCCCAGCATTTAATTCAGCATCTGGTATATAACAGATGTTCACTTAACATTTGTTTTGTCAAATTAAAGTGCAGTTAAGTAACCTCTCAACTAGAAGCAATCAAGAAAAAATCATTGTTCAAATTTCTATCATTTCAGATAAACTTTTTATTCTCAATATATTAAACACCAACAAAGAGAGTCAATAATTTTATTCTTAGTGGAAGAGTAAAGGTATAAAATAATAAAAATATTAAATTAAATAGGCCTTCTAATGAGTTATACTCTATTAATTACATTTTAATATAAACGTGTCCATGTTCTTGGCATTCGGTTTGAACACTATCTGAGGAAGGAATTACCCAGGAAAAACACTGTGCCTTTTCAAGTTACATCCAGTACCAGGAAGAGATGTACTATTAGACTGATAAAGTCTACTCTTGCTGTGGAAGTAGCTAAGTATCTGGGTTTCAAAATACTGTACATTTTGACATGAAATACAAAGACTTATGTAATTAATAGCAAATACTGGGGACTTCCACAAATTAAAGGGAGAAGGTATCTGAACAAAAGTGAAAGCAACAATCACCACAAAGATAACTGTAAAATCTACTAGAATGAGTTTCTAAACTAGGTCAGAATTAATCCATCAAGAACTTTTTCCATTCTTCATTTTTTTCAGTACTGGGGATTGAACCCGAGGCTTTGCACGTTAGGTAAATGCTATGCCACTGTGCTAGTCACCTCCTGGACCCTTTTTGTAAAAACTCTGAGACAAGGTCTCATTCATTGCCCAGACTGGCTTCAAATTTGTGATCTGTCTCAGCCTCCTGCGTAGCTGGAATTGCAGGCAGACATCACATCTAACCCCACTATTCGTCCTTTCTTTCCTTCCTTGCTTCCTTCTGTAGTATTGAAGATCAAACCCAGGGCCTTAGCACTGAGCTACATCCACAGGCTTTACTTTGTATTCGGAGACAGGGTCTTGCTGAATTACTAGAAATGGGAACTTGCAGTCTTCTTGCCCCAGCCTCCCAGATGCCAGGATGACAAGCACGTGGCCATGAACCCAGCTAAAAGCTCTATTTTAGAGATACCTGATTAGTATAACACAATGTCTCAAAGAATCTTGAAATTGTGATTCCTTTTTAACAAAATTATATTCAAAACATCGGAAATATTTTCAGTATGATTTAAATAATTCTGATTTCACAATGTAGGAAGGCAACTAACACTTAACATCACTCATAACTATAGGGTCCTATGCTGCACGCTTTAAAATTACTTCCTTTACCTCCCATAGTCTTACTAACTCTTTGAAATTATATCTTCTTTTGGAGAGGAAGAACCCACAGGTCAAATAACTTGCCCTAACTCATCCAACAATTATTAAAGCCCATAGCTGAGATTACAACCCAAAATGGTCTTTCCAATCAGCCTTTCTCTAAACACTGATGGCTCCTTCAGGGAATATTATGACTATAACTTCCACTTAAAGAATTTTGTTGAATACATATTGAACTTCTCCAAAAATTACAGAAAAACAATTAAAATGAGAGTAAACACTGTTTGTATTAAATATTTTGGTTGCCCAAACTTTTATCTTTTTATATATTGTAATCCATTCCAAAAGCAGCTGCCTTTCAGCTGGAAACCAAACTGCCTCACCATTCTCAAAATATTACTAATATTTAATTTCTCATGAACTTCGTATTACATCCACAGCCTTCTTTGAACAATGAAATGTGTCAGAATAACAGCTTCTGTTAGAATAATGTCCCTATATAATGAATAACTCAGATTACATTTTACTCTAAACTTCTTTAAAATTAGAAATACAATTCTCATATAATTTTTCATTCTTTTTTTTTAGTGTTTCAATCATTTTATGTAGTTTTTTCTCATTCTTAATTATACATTGCTTTTGCACTGAGTTTCAAATGGCTGTGCATCTTATTCTAAAATGAAGTACTACATTTTGTCAGGGCAAATAGAACATTTTCTGAGCTTTTATATAATCCTGGAAAAAGGTATTTACTAAATTCTCAGGGAATGCAGCATTTTAAACAGTAAATATAGAAGAATCATCTGTCTTCCTGAGTAAAACTGGAGTAAACTAAAGTTATCAAATTGAATCACTCCAGATAGAAACTCAACAAAGTACAACTACAATTTATTTCCAGAGCCACATCCAAGCAGATTTCTAACGTAGAAACTAGCCTCCAGCTTAACTAGTAAATACTCTTTTCGTCTCTACCTAAAACACATGTGCTTGTAAATAAATTACCAATAAATTATGTGTTGGAGAACGGAAATACTAAATTTCAGGTCTGTAGGAATTATCCTTATTTTGTTAGGAAGCTTTACTAGAAAATACATTTTGTGTAGGCTTTTCATATATATGCTATGTAAGTTTCCAAACTGCTGCACGAAAGTCAAAAGCTTTACCTCTTTCTACACTAATTCTCAAACATCATCTACTGAAAGGTTCCAAATTGGTACACTAGTGATCTAATTAGCTGGCACTTCCATACTCATGCACTACTACTATATTGTATTTTACAAACTTTCCTGCTTTTAAGACCTGGTTCACCCAAAACGAAGTTCCTGAACTTTTAGGATAAAATATTAAATTACAAAAATGAATTCCTGTAGCTAAAATCAAAACTCGCCTTTCCGTTTATACACTAGTAATTTTACATGAGGATATACAAAACAATGTACTACGCATTCAATAATGACAGAAGCCTCAACAACAAACCCACATCTAACAAATACTGCATATGTCATTACATTGAGTACGACACGGAGTAAAAAATACACTGATCTCACACACAGAATGTTTACGACTTAAAAAAAGCTTCCTAAAATGTTTTACAGATCTCAAAAAGAAACCGCACAGCTGAAGTTACTCTCCCAGCTACAGCCAATTTGAGATACAGTATGACTGTCGTAATCGGTAGACCAAATTCTGTTTAACGTGAAAAAGAAAAGAATCTCGAACATAATTACAGTACTAATTCTTCTACGAGATACTGTCGAATAAACTCCGGGACGGTGACTGATGGAAGAAATACGGGTTAAGTAGCAGGATTCAATCCTTAAAAAACATAACCCGGGTTTACCCAGCTCCGAAGGTGTAAACAATCCCATCTCCACTGCAGAAGGTAAACAATGAACCTGCAGCTGGGTTGAGGGGGCGGTCTTTGGCCAACTACAGATCCAGAGGCTTGGGAAAGGGAAGTGTAACCCACACACTTAGCAGGAATGATTGGCCCCAGGTCTCACTACCGGGTTATCCACCCTGCAAGTCCCCCCAGAACGTGGGCAAAGAGAGAAGCAGTCACGCAGTCAACAAGACCCGAGCAGGTCCGGAATCTGCTCCGGGGACGGGGAGGGCAGGATGTGGTCGCTCTTCCCTCAAACATCCTCCAGCAACCTAAATAACAACCCCTACCTCCCTCCGGCCACTCCCAGGATTCGGGTGCTTGAGCTTCGGCATAGGTGTGAGAGGCTCCCCGGCGGTTGAGGGGACCCACGGGGTCGCCGGCTCCGCCGAGTTCAACTCGCCTCCCCGCACGCCCGCAGCTACCCACGG